TATTTTATTGGTACATTTTAGGTGTACAATATAATGACATTCATCATTGGAAATTTGCACCTTTACATAATCTCTCTTGGTTCTTATTTTTCCTCTTCTCCTGCCCTCCCTTCAACCCCTCCATCCTTCCCTAATTACAAAGACTTTGTTTCTATTTTTTCATTTTCTCATATTAATTCCTTTCCCTTCTTTCCTTCCCCTTCACTCTTATTTTTTTTGTTAGTTTGAGACAGGGTCTCACTATGTACAGTGGACCCTCAAGTTACAACCAGCTTGACACGAACACCTTGGGTTATGACCGGAATTTTAGTTTTAACAAAGTTTTGAGTTATGACCCAAATGCTGGGTGCTTGTGCCTACAGATGGTTCAGATACATATTTAACCCTCAAAGAGTTCTGGAAGGAACAGTACAGCATCCTTTCTTGTGCAGGGTTCATTGAGAAATCCTGGGCCAGTATCTCTCTAAGGACACTGAGATCGGCTTGAATACAAGAGAGAAGCTTTGAAGGCTGTGTAGAGGAGCCTGAGTCTTCAATTGACAACTTGAGTTACAACCAGCCCTCTAGAATGAATTGAGTTCATAAGTAAAGATCCACAGCAGTTCAGACTGTCCTTGAACTATGTAGCCCAGCTTAGCCTCAAACTCACACCAACTGTCCTCCTGAGTGCTGGGATTACAGCCATGCTCCACCATGCCTGGCCAGTCACACTCTTTAAAACAGTCTTAGCAGTATTATCTCAGGGGAGTAAGTTTGGAAATGATGGGAGTGTGTTATCACATTTAGTGGGTTGGGAAAAATTATTTTTTACTTATTACTACCACCCATGGATATAGAAGCTTAAAAAGCTCCTAGGAGAGAACACAGAAAGGGGACCTCTCAGATGAGGACCAATCCTTCTGGGGGTTTTAAGGGTGAGTAAGAGTTCACCAAGTGCAGAAGCGAGGGACGTTCAAGACAGAAGAGTCACCTGGAGCACACGAGGAGGTGGCGTGGGCTCTTGTCCACAACAGGACAGGGAGGTGAGCAGGCAGGGCCACAAGCACACAGGCCTCTCACCCCCTCTGTCTTTTCTTGTCTCTCTGACCCAGATGGGGCAGTGGTGTGCATGCTCCAGTTCCCCAGCCCCAGCTGGTACTGGGACACAGTGACCAAGATCTGCGTGTTCCTCTTTGCCTTCGTGGTGCCCATCCTCGTCATCACCGTGTGCTACGGCCTCATGCTGCTGCGCCTGCGCAGCGTGCGCCTGCTGTCGGGCTCCAAGGAGAAGGACCGCAGCCTGCGGCGCATCACGCGCATGGTGCTGGTGGTGGTGGGCGCCTTCGTGGTGTGCTGGGCGCCCATCCACGTCTTCGTCATCGTCTGGACGCTGGTGGACATCGACCGGCGCGACCCACTCGTGGTGGCCGCGCTGCACCTATGCATCGCCCTGGGCTACGCCAACAGCAGCCTCAACCCTGTGCTCTACGCCTTCCTGGACGAGAACTTCAAGCGCTGCTTCCGCCAGCTCTGCCGCTCGCCCTGCGGCCACCCAGAATCCGGCAGCTTCAGCCGTGCGCGAGAGGCCACGGCCCGAGAGCGGGTCACCGCCTGCACCCCCTCCGACGGCCCGGGCGGTGGCGCTGCGGCCTGACCACACCTCTCCCCTGCGCCCCTCAGAGATGACCACGGAGACTCTGTGGGGTGGAACCACGATCGAGGACGGGGCAGTAGAGGGTGGGGAGGCTTAGGCCGCTGGATGGCCCAAGGCCATCTGTTTTGGAGAAGAGCTGGGGACTTGGGACCAGGTAGTGGCCGTGAGATGGGGCCTGTGCTGTGTGGTGACTCTGGATCCAGTGGGGGACGGGTACCTGATCCAGGCCGCAGGCTGGGAGGGGGTGCAGCTAGCAACTGCAGAAGTGTGGGACCTGCAGCACTGAAACCGGGCCCCCTAATAGGACCTGTGCAGTGGGCAGAGTCTCAACCTTGGGACAGCTTTGAGTTCTAACTCCCACAGGGCTTTGGGCATGAAGATCTGGCCTGGAACCTGATGATTTTGCCCCCAGGACCCAGAAGGGACAGTGGTGGATGGTGGCTTGAAGAGTGAGCTGCAAGCCTGGGTGTGGTGGCGAGGAGCCTCTTGCGGAGGAGGTGGAGAGACAGGACAAGCAGGCTGACTACAGCTCAGGTTTGTCACCAGATAGAGAGCCTGTGAGCCGGAGGTGGGGCCTCATGTTTGGCAGAGTACCAGCCCCGAGTTCTAGCAGCAGGTGGGGACTCACTGAGGTCTAGGTCCAATTTGACATCTTTAGAATTAAGGAGAGAATACAAAAGAAACAGAGAGGGCCTGGGATTTAGCTCAGTGGTTCCAGCTCCTACCTCATAAGTGCAAGGTCCTGAGTTTGATCTCCAGTACCAAAAAAAAAAAAGAAAAGAGAAAGAAACAACATACCATTTCACTTGAACTGTCATTTATTTCTTTGGAATGGACATCGATGCCTAGGAATGGAAGCAGTGTCCATAGCGGTACCCAGTAGATCTTGGGACAGGACAGTGGAGCAGGGCCAGCGGCTCCCATCTAGGGGAGGGTGACAGGCCTCAGCTGAAGTAGGGTCCCCAGAACCAAGTACTTGAGGCTTAGGAAGAAGTAAGAAGGTCCTGGGACTTCAAACCCCCAGCTAGGCTCTTGTGCCAGGGGTAGGGTGTTGGTGGAAGTGGTGGTAGTGGTAGCGGGCTAAGGCAGGGAGCCAGGGCTTCTGCTTTGAGGTTAGGTCTTCAAGCCTGAGGAGGGAAGTCCCCAGGGCCCTGGTGTCTGTGGCTGAGTACCAGAGCACAGAGAGAGAGGATTGCCTATTTAGAGCCTCATGCATGGTGAGTGACCTAGGAGTGAGGGGGGTGCACCAAGATACCCCTGCAGATTTCCAGACCCCTGATAAGAACCTCAGAATTCCCTCCCCTTCTTCCAACATCCTCCTGTGCCCTATGTGTCTGGTGTCAGTGCCTCTGACGAACTGAAACTGTCCACATGGGCCCTGATTTTGAGGGAACTGAGGGAATATGGCATGTGCTCCCCTCTCGATTTGCCCTCAGCTCCCCCATCAGCTTCAGCCCATCCAACTTCTCCTTCAGGCTGCTGAGTTCCAGGGTCCACCCAAAGCCAGGCATAGAAGTGTATACCAGACACCCTAGACCTTTGCTTCCCTTGGTATCAGGGTTTGTCCTTGTCTCCTGTGCCTCCCCCAAGATTCCTCTTCCCACCCTTCCCCCACCCTGCATCAGCAAGACACCCCTGACTCCCTATTGAAGCAAGTGCTGACATTCTTGTAAAAACAAATTTAATTTTCTTCCTTTTTTTGGGACAGATGGGAAGAAAATGACGCCTTTGTCTCAAACCAAAAAAAAAGAAAGAAAAGAAACAATATACCTCTTTTCCTTTTGACAGCCATTTTTTGGGAACAAAAGCTGGGAGGCTGTCACTCCGGCAGGAACTGAACTAGTTGGGGGGGGGGCAACAAAATGGGCTTTGTGCACATTTAAGGGGTAAGGGTCCCTTCAGTGAGTAAAGCACAGCCCTCTTCTCAGGGCGAGGTCCCCTGAAACCCTGGACCTGGGGATTTTCTTCCAGAAAGTGGCTCCCCTGGGACCTAGGAAGAGGGGCAGTGACCACCACTCAGGTCCAGCTCCCAAGCTACCATGACCTAGAGTCTCAGTCCACTTGTAGCTCAACCGTCACCACCCAGATGGGCCCTTCGACCATGGAGACTTCTGTTTGGAGGGGTAGTCAGCAAGGCAGGGGGACATCCTGGACACACCTTGACATTTGGGGCTCTTCCTGCTGATGCTCTGGGGAGATGGCAGAGCAAGGGGACAACTTAGGAAGCAGAGAAGACTCTTGAAGTAAATGGGGGCAAGGCTGTTTATTCTTCTTGCAAGGACTATGTCATCACACACACGACAGATGACATACACACATGCCACAGGCCTGTCTAAGCCACTTGGAAGTCCACTCACTGCCACTTCCTGTGGGTGTAACAGATCTGGCTGCTTTTTGCCCCTGCTAGAAGATATGTAAGTTTGTCCTGGGTCAGCAGGGGCTGGATCCAGACCAAGTACGTTTAAGGTAATGCAATTTTGTATTGAAATCTACTTCCTGCCAGCCTGGCCCATGTGGCTCTGCCCTCAGAAGGCTCGAGCCAGTGGATAAATGGATGATTGCATCCCAGTGTGATGAGCACAGGGACAGAGAGCCTAGGGAGTATGTTATAGGAAGTGCCTTTTGTATCTTTTTACTAAAAACGCGTGTAGCAATTCCATGAGAGGTGGAAACAGGTCACGCGGCCTTAAAGGATGAATAGGAGTTCACCACCAAGAGGAAGGAACAGTGTATGTGAAAGCATGAGAGGTTCAGGTGCTTGGCAAAACCAAGAAATTATGTGCAGCAGGAGGATAGCACTGAACTGAGTACTTCTGTGTGCCAGGCACAGTGCCAGGTGTGTTGTGCACATTATCCCAGTGGATCCTCATGGCAGCCAAGTGGGGAAGTAATGGCATCCCCATTTTGGACAAGAAAGCTGAAGCTCAGAGAGGTTGAGCCCCTGGGCTCACAGACCCTGTGAGTAGCAGCAGCACCTGGGTCAGTGGAATTCCAGGGGAAATTCCATGGTCCAAGTTTGCAGTAAATCTCAGACATCATTGAAGTAGGAAGACATTAGTAGCTGGAACCCTGGGATGAGGTTTTGGAAGATTTAAGACAAAATGGAGCAATCTGGAGGAAAAGGGCAAATTTTCATGAACTTTTGTTCTTCTTGAAGCTCTCCAGATCTTCTCATTTCAAAATGTACTGTACACGATGCATTTTTAATGCTCCAAATTGACAATGTAATTCTAGATCATCACCAGGTTCTGAAAACTGCGGAGTAGGGCTCTCTCTTTCCTCCAAAATTTCCATTCCTCTCTCTCTAGGAGTGGGAGGGAAGTTTTTGCCCTTGGTTTAAAAATGTCCTGCCCCTGAAGTAGCAGGAAAGGCTGGCATCAGATCTTGGCTTTCCCTCCCTGAGCCCCTGTGTCCTCATCTGTAGAGTGAACTTCCTTCATGGGTAGTTGTGTAGATTAAATGAGATAATGTATGTGTAGCTTTAGGGCCCATCACCTGAGGATGCTATTAGCACATGGTGAGTACTGTTTCTAAGCTGGAATGTGAAGCAGAGCTAGAGACCTACAGGGAAAGTGGGTAGGCTTTCAGGAGCAGCAAGAAAGAAGAGCCTGGGGTCCCAGCCTGGGGATCCCTCCCTTGCTTCCTAGGCGCAGGAGCCTGTGGAGAGTGAGAAGCCACTGGGGAAGCAGGAGGAGGATGGGGAGAATGTGTTGCCATGGAAACTGGAGGAGGAGGGCGTTCCCAGGAGGAGGGAGTGATGGAGAATGTCAAATGTCATAAGAGAGAATGGGGGTGGGGAGGACAGGAGGCTGACGGGAGCAAACTAGAGTCCTCAACTTCAGTCTCCTGCATGGCTTAGGAAACCCCCAAGCCCTTTCAGATCTCAACTCTGAAGCTAAATGGCTGCATGAACCAGGCAAGGGGATTTGCCCTCTCTGAGTTTCTGTTTGCTCCTAGATCTAACACAAAGGCTGGGGTTAGTCACTAATATGATGGCCAGTCTCTAATAAGATCTCTGAGTTTGATGGATTCTTGGCCACTTGTTTTTGTTTGTTTGTTTGTTTTTGGTACCAGGGATCCAACTCGGGACCTTGTGCTTGTGAGACAGGCAGCAGCACCACTGAGCTAAATCCCAGGCCCTTTGGCCACTCGTTAATAGGGTGACTGAGGCCCCTCTGCAAGCCAACTGCCTACCAAAGTGCTGGCACCTGCTAGGTCCAATACAGGGTTATCTTCCAGTAATTATGCAGATGCCAGAGGCAGCTGTTGGAAAGAAGTGTGCTTGGCTTGGAATTGGAAATGCCCTCCATATGGAGGGTGGTCAGTAGTATCGAAGTTCTACCAGCGTTCCAGGAGCAGAAGGAGTCTCGGGTGGCCATCTGCTGGGTCTCAGTCCAAAGACCACCCTCTCCTTGTAACTGACAGATCTTGAGCCTGGGACTACAGATCTGGAGCAGGAACTAGACCTAGAAATGCCAAACCTTCTAGGAAGTGACACACACCCACCAGCTCCTGGCTCCAGGACCCACGCAGAAAACACACAGAGCTTTCTTTCAGCATTTATTTATTTGTTATTATTTATTCCTTTATTTCACTGCCAGACACCAGGCGAGTAGTGCTAAGAGCTGGTGGGAATGGTGGGAGAGTCAGGACCACTCAGAGCTTACAGATGGGGGTCAGGCCAGGACACTGGCTGTGTGGGTCTGGGGCTCTGGCTGCAGGCAGCTTGGGAATTCAAGGCTGAGCTTCCAGGGAGCTGCCGAGGTCCTTCCAGACTGCCAGGCTGATGCTGTAGAGTGTGCAGCTGGGAGGTTGCCCTGGGTGTAGCTCCAGTGCCATTGCCATTGCAAGGATGAGCCCTACCCAGGATGCCCAGTGCTTTCACACATTCCATCTCTATGACAGGCTGTTGTGATGCCAATAGTAGGTGACCAGCAGTGCTTACCTGCACCCAATTACATAGAGTAGCTCACTAATCTTCCCAGTCTGACTATGAAATCCACTCTATTTTTCTTATCTCCATTTTGCAGATGAGGAAACAGGCTCACGGAAGGGAATGACTTGCTCAAGGCCACATGGTTAATCAGTGATTGGCCCAGCTGAGACCCATCTTAGGCCTGTCAAGTCCACTTCCTCTGCTTTCCTACTTTGGCCTCCCATGAGGAAGCACTCTCTAATTACCCAGAAGGCCCCAGCAAGATTGTCATATCCAGCTGGAGGTCACAGACTGAGCATTTCCTGTGCCAGATTCTGTGGCTTGGCTGCAGATTCTACCATCACCTTAGCAGCCCATGCCAGCTGCCCAAAAAACTGCTGTGACCTTGGCAGATCCTTCTCCACAGCCTTCCCTGCCTGCTTTGGAAGCCTGCTTGTTCTATAACTTTTTGACACCCTGCCATGTCTTTTCTGTGTGACCCTGGGCAAGACATTTCACTCAGCCCATTTCCTCTATTATGGAGGACACTTAGCTGGTAAGAAGTTGAGATTTAGAAAGGCTGCAAGTGGTGGGCCTTGTCTGCCCTGGTTACAGAAGTTCCCAGCAGTGCCGGGTGTAGTAGTGCACACCTGTAATCCCTGTACTCGGGAGGCTGAGGCAGGAGGATCACTGTGATTTCGAGGCCAGCCTGAGCTACATAGAGAGACCCTGTCTCAAAAAACAAACAGTTCCCACCAAACGCAAGCGGGCACCATGTGGGTGAATAATATGCCTGGTGCACAGCAAATGCTCAAGAAAGGGAGCCTTTTCCTTTCATCTAATGCTTTCAATTACACGTGTTTCAGTCCTTTTCCTAGTGCTGTAGGCAGGGCAGG